GAGAAATCAAAATAATACTGTTAGACTGGTAGTAGAAAACAGCTATCTCCCACCTTTTCTCTTTCCATCCCTGATTTTTTTCTTCAGACAACCACTTTTAACTCTTAGCTGCCTTGTATTGCAGTTTTTTTTTTTAAAAAAATAACATGTCCAATATTGCTTTTTTATTGACTGATTCTTCCCCATTACACACACCTCTCCTCTCCACCCCCTCCCATGTTACATAATCATGTTCTATCCATATTCAGTGCTAACGTAATTATGACTGACTTTACGACGAGTGTTATTCACAGTTGAGATATGCAGCGTAGTTCCTGAACAAGCTTTTATTTTTCCCGGGTTCATAATTGCCTCAGCTTTGTTTTCTTATTAAATAAAAATCTGCAGACCACTAATTCATCTCCAGACTCCCTGAAACATTCAAAATCTCAACTCTATATCCCAACATACCAGGTATTCAGTTTTTCTTTTGAGACATGCCACCTGACACTCCGTCTTTAAGCATTCATTGACTTACTGCTGTTCTCTTCTACTCTCCTCCCTAATACAGTTCCACTGCTATTTTAGCAACCTTATGGCCACTCTCTCACAAAATGTCTTCTTTCCTCATGAGCAGGACTGTATCTTTCAACTTCCCATTTTACATAAAGACCCCACTACCACTCCATTTACCTTCCTCTCCTCCCTTCAGCATCCCCCCCTGAAAACTGTACTGTTACACGATCACCGGTGACCACACTTGTATTCTACTTCGTAACCATAATTAAGTAGCCTCTTAAAAAAAAAAGACCACAGACGGCATTTGCATAAATTATTCTGATTATTTAAATGCTATTCATTAAATAGCCAGGCTTTGTGCTGAACTGGGTTTCCTTTTCTTTGGCGCCGAGGTCTGGAACCGTGCCACTCACAGGGACGCCGAAACAGAGTCCACTGTCTTACCCTCCGACCCTCTGCTCAAAAGCCCGCAGCACTTTACGCTGTTTGACATCGGAAGGATGCGTTTCCTGTACAGTTTTTTTACTCTCACTGAAAATCTGATTGTCATTTTCTCTTGGGGGAATGAAGAAATACATGCCTTCCACGTCATATCCTTAAGATCTTCAGCTTCTCTACTCATTCAATCTCTTGCTAACAAGTCAACCCAAAATTCCCGAAATTGGTGATTTTTAAAAATCTCAATTTGAACCAGGAACTTGTATTTTACATTTGCTTCCTGAAAAATTCAGTCGCCTTCTGTTTTTGACATAACGCATCCTGTTCGTCCTGATTTTGTTTTCAGGACGCACAGCTTCTTAAATCTTGTCGGGGGCCGTCATCGAATTCTTCCCTGTGGCTGGAAGTCGCGTCTGTCCTCTCCGGTCCCGGCAGGACTTCCGAGCCCGTCCCCTGGAGCTCGGGCGGACGGCGGCGAGCGCAGCCGCGCGGGGCGTCCGGCCACTCTCGCGAGACCGAGGAGGCCGCGTCCGCAGCTCCGCTCCGCTCCGCTCCGCCGCGGGGCCTCCTGGGAGTCCGCCATTCTGCCGGTCCAGAGACCGTTAGCGTAATCGCGACTCTAGAAATGTACCTGCAAGCGGATGTTGAGGATGACGGAGCCCGCGACGTAGAAGTACGGGAAATTGGAGCGCAGCTGCCAGGCCAGCTCGAAGAAGGCGAGCAGCGTGCGGGAGAGCCCTTTGCAGAACACCCCGTAGGAGCTGGGGGCGGCGGCCGGGCTCGAGACCCCGAGGGCCCAGGTAGACGGAGCCGCCACGGTGGCGATGGCCATGGCCCCGGTGTCGCCGCTCGCCCGGTGCTTGGTGCCGAGGGTCGCCGCAGGTCCCGCGGACCCGGACCGATGGCCCGGACGGCGAGAGCGGGGGCACTAAGCTGTGGCTGCGTCCCCTCTGCGGTGCAGCCGCTGCCTCCGCTGCGGCGCTGCCTGTCAGCCGCTGGCGCCCCGCCCCTTCCTGTCTCCTGTTAGCTTTAGAGTTGAACACGTGGTAGGTACAGGACGGTTTTTTCTTTATATATTGCCGTACACGTTATTTCATATCACACTTATGGGCAGCCATAGAGATAGGATTTTCTCTTTAAAATGAAAGCAAGCTTAGAAGGGGAAATACAAGGAGTTAGGTATATTAATAATGTTTGGAGAGTTTTTTTAAAAAAATCTGTTCCTGTGTTCTCCCTTCGGAGTTTCTTGTGTATACTAAAACATATCCCTGGAATCGAAATTTTCCTATAGGCCAAGAAATAAGTACATATTTATAATTATAATTTTACCATGTTATAATAAAATCAGTGCAGTTTTTAATTGCTCAAAGCTACCTGAAAATACTACAAACTATTGTTCTTCAAGATTTGTCCATTACCTGTACTTGTCACTTACTGTTATTTACAGGAAACTTTGCTCCTAAATGAGGAACACTTTAAAAGTAGGGTAATTGGGGGGGGGGGGGGGGATCTGAGGACCATTAAGCAAAATTTCTCAGCTGTAAAATAATTGTTTTTAGAATCCAACAATATTAATTTCCTTCCTTGCTTCCTTCTTCTTTGCTGTAGTCCTTCCTTTTTTCTTTCCTTCCAGGAACTGTAATGCTCCAACTGTTCTTTTATAAAAAATTCTTCTGGCTATTCTGGGCACAATGTATAGGCATCTACATTTTATGAATAGTTACTCACTCACTGCCATCAGAGCCTGTTGGAATTTGATAGGGGATTGCACTGAATATACAGATAATCTCTTTACCTGAAAAGACTCTCCTCTTTCCAGATCTTAGTTCAATTGGCCTCCCTGCCTTGCTCAGCTTTCAGATGAATTTAAAATACAACTTTGGCAATTAACTCCCTTTATCTTGGTTTTTATAGGAGGAAATCTTGCCTTTTACTTCTACATTGTACTCAAAAGCCTATGCTCTCCCAGGTTAACTCTGAAGGATCAAATGAATAACAATCCTTAGTGACAGGTGTACTTATTAGGCACAATTGGAAGCACTCGACACAAATACAGGGTGTCCCCCCAAATAAGTATACACACTTTAAACACTGCCTTTATAATTATTCAAAGTGTGTGCATACATTTTTGGGGGACACCTATAGTATACTCACTACTCACAAAGACCACCCAAAGAGGGTATCATGTTTTCTGACTTTTTACTGATGATTATTGCCGGGGCTGGGGTCCAGGGGTTCCCAAAGGTGTGGACGGAGTTGGCGAAGAATGTTTTACACATCCGTGGAACTTCCTGTTCCTGGCTGAGGCCACAGAGAAAGATCCTGAGGGAAGCTGAGCTTTTATTTTATAGTCAGAGGTAAACAGGTATTGGTTACCAAAGTTACACTGTTCTTGTGAGTTTCACTTGTTTACACTCTTCTTGTGAGTTTCACTTGTTTTTGTTTTTGTTGCACTTCCCTCAGTCCATTAGCTTCCCAGGTAAGATCTAGGGAGCATTATAAGGTCAAGCCTAATTATGCTTAAGAGGACTGTGCCCTCTAAGCTGGGACTTGTTTGTGACTTTGCCAACAGGTCAGTCCGAGGTTTAACCCTATAGCGGCTCCCCACAGATTATACTGAGACAGTAGTTTTAAAAGAGTCCAAGATCAGAGATATACAAAGCAGAGAATCTGTGTTTTCTGTTCTGGCAGTCTAATTCCAAGATCCTCTGCTAAACACCATTACTCTATAAAAATTGTCACTGAATAAAACCCAAGTGTAGAGGCTGGTTTTAACACCTATTAATCTTTAAAAAACTAAGTAGTAAAGAATGAATTAAACAGAGAAAAATAAAACCATATATTTATATATAGGAGTCTGGAATCTGCAATGAAAAACATTCTTTTGAAGTATTCAGTATTTATAAAATTTCTAAATATTTAAATATTAATATTTAAATATTAAATAGACTCAAAAGGGAAACTTTATCAAAGACCTAAGCATGAAAGATATGCATGATAGCTGTTAATAATGGGTTGGAAGTCTGCATGGGAGAAAAGTCAGATTTAAACCTAAATGACCTCCTGACACTAATTTTATATTTTGGAAAGTATAGAACACTAATTCCATCCTTTAGATGTACGTGTATTTGTCTGAGTTAGTGGGGGTGTGTTTATGAGCTTGTTGCAAATATAGTTATGCAAAAGTATTAATTATCAGCAACCAGCTTTTATAGTGTTCCTGAGAAAATCTAGGATGGTTTTGATAGGAAAAGCTTGAATTCTTTCCACATAATTCTAGGATTAAAAAAAATTTATAGTGATGATCACCCTAGTTCTGACGAAGCTCTATCTAATAGTTTAGACATTCACTGCATATTGGGTTTTTAAATTTTTTGGGGGTTTTTAAACAACTAATGTTGAACACAAATTATAGAAAGGTCAAAGAAGGAAAAAATTGCAAAACAGTATGTCTATTTGCATCCTAGCAAATGAGAATTCAGCTTTCACTTCAACATCAGTTATGAAGTAATCCAGTCAGTGGCAGGGACACACACTGTTTGAATGGGAGTCCATGGAAAACAATATCCTATGTAATAAGAAAGGAATATGCTAATTAGCCATTAAGCCCTGAGGTGTAACGCTTCCGCGCCTTACAACTAGATCACGGATCAGCAGGAGGGTGGGCCAGCGAGGTACAAGCGGGCTGCAGAGAGTTACAGGACGGGGCAGGGCAGCACGCATGTGGGAGGCGGAGAACTACAGGAGAGGGCAGGGCAACAAGCTATGGAGGGGGTGGGGGGAGCTACAAGAGGGCGGGCAGCAGGCGGAGAGCTACAGGAGGGTGGCAGCGACCTACTGGCACACGGATTTGTGCGCAGGGCTACTAGTTTTCCCATAAAGATAGCATTGAACTTTTCTATTAGCATACCCTGAAGCTTTCCTGCTTGGCATTGGTCGCAGAATTGAAACCAGAAATTCACTGCAAATTCAGAAAACAACTGCACATTGAATTTAAGGTCAGAATATTAAAAGAATCACGACCAGTGATATTAGACTTGGATTTCTTTATCTTTTTAGACATCATGGCTTTACTACCAGCCATTCTTTCCAGCCTATTCACAATACAATTTGTTCTAGGATATTTTGCCAATGGCTTCATAGCACTGGTGAACTGCATTGACTGGGTCAAGAGACAAAAGATCTCCTGCGCTGATGGAATTCTCACTGCTCTGGCTGTCTCCAGAATTTGTTTGCTCTGTGTATTAGTACTAAATTGGTATGCAACTGTACTTAATCTAGCATTTTATAGTTTAGATGTAAAACTGATTGTTCATATTGTCTGGATGACAAGCCACCATTTTAGTCTGTGGCTTGCTACTAGCCTTAGCATATTTTATTTGCTCAAGATAGCCAATTTCTCCAGCCTTTTATTTCTTCACCTAAAATGGAGAGCTGAAAGAGTGGTTATCATGATACTGTTGGGGGCTTTGGTCTTCTTGGTTTTTCATCTTGCAGTGGTAAGCACAGATGAAAAAATGCAGATGAATGAAGATAAAGGAAACATCACTTGGGAGACTAACTTGGGGGACATTATGCACCTTTCAAATCAGACTTTATTCATGCTTGTAAACTTCATACCCTTTACTATGTCCCTGACAGCTGTTCTGCTGTTAACCTTTTCCATGTGGAAACATCTGAAGAACATGCAGCTTAGTGGCAAAGGAACTGAAGATCCCAGCACCGAGGTCCACATAAGAGCCATGCAAACTGTGATCTCCTTTCTCTTGGTATTTGTCTTTTTTTTCTTCACTCAAGTCATCTCAGTTTGGAATTCGAGTACTCAGCAGAACAATTTAGTTCACATGGTTTGCAAGGTTCTTGGAATCCTGTATCCGTCAAGCCACTCATTTATTCTGATTTGGGGGAATAAGAAGCTGAGACAGGCCTTTCTGTCATTTCTGTGGCAGTTGAGGTGCTGGTTGAGGAAAGAGAAATAAGTGGGGCACCTTGTGTCTTCTGGCAGAAAACAAACTGATGGAGTCCATAACATTTGTACTTCCTACATATTTTTTAATGTGTATAGAATTGGGTAAGTTACACCTAGAAAAACTTCTACTTAAGTTTGCCACAAAAATATATATGTGTGTGCATGTTTATGACAAAAAAAAGACCATAAGATTACCATTTTTTTTAGGTAAGCAATCTAATTTTACAAAATTGTGTAAGAAATTCTTAAGAATCATGAAGTCATTTATTTCACATACATGTTCTATGTTATCCTCTTGAAATTGAAGAATTTGTGCTCTATATTTATGCATATTTCAGGACTGACAACCCATCTCAGGAAATCATTGCTACTTTCCATTGTAGTTAGTACCACACATATGTACCACAGTGAATATAGACTTTGTTGTTTGAATCTCCAATCCTTTGGATGGTAAGGATATTCAATTCTAAATCACACACGGAGAATAGATGCTTGGCATAGATATTCCATCATGAATTCTTGCTTCATGGTTAATAGAAAGTAATTAGAACTGTTAGGAAAAGATGCATGTAGTGAAATTAAAGAGTGACAAACATTTAGAATGTATTTTACATACATGTGCCATAAACAGTAGTAAGATTATTATGTTTAATACAATAGGTGAAGCTTAGTAACCAAGTTCTACAATAGGGATGAAGAAGAAAGCAAAATGATCATTTTCTTTTAATGCTGTTATGGTTCACTATGCTGTTAGGAAACTTATTTCATACTGCCTTTTTTAAAGAAAAAAAATGTCATTTTATTAAGTTTTCCCATAAACTGTGTTTGGGCCTCTGAATTGCCAATCATCTCCATCTCACTATCTAAAGATTCCTTTTAAACTTTACATAAAAATAATAAAAATGAAAAGGCTTACAGTATGAGCTTGGTGTTATGTATTTTATTCAGTTTTCCCATAGAAGATGATTTACAGAAGAAGAACACAAAAGATACGAATTGTAAGGCCTGGTAATACTAAGAGACCACATAAGGGAGTGGTGTTCAATTTCCCCTTGGTAGCCAAGATCAATTACCCCAGCCAGCACAGTATCTCCCTTCTTTGCCTGTTGATAGAGGCTTAAGGAGTCCAAAGTGGTTGGATAGCAGTCTTAAGTTCCAGTTTGATAAAATTGTTGCTATGTTTCTGGGTAGAAGTGTTCCTTCCTTTGTCCAATGTCCTCCAGGCCAGCAAAACATAAGGTCGTAGGAAGAGGAAACAAATTTTGCTATTGGGTTACTAGGGGAAATAGTGAGTGGTGACACATTTTCACCCGTTCATTCCTGCACTTGTGAATCCTGGTTCCTGGAGAGACAGCACCATTTATTGCATGCTGATTCCAAGCATATGTAACCTGGAGAACCTTGCTCCAGCCCCGAAAGATATTGCCGCTTAATTGGTACTATCAGTGAGTCTTCAAAAAGCCATTATACCAGTGGTTCTCAACCTTCCTAATGCCGCGACCCTTTAATACAGTTCCTCATGTTGTGGTGACCCCCAACCATAAAATTATTTTCGTTGCTACTTCATAACTGTAATTTTGCTTCTGTTATGAATTGTAATGTAAATATCTGATATGCAGGATGTATTTAGGCGACCCCTGTGAAAGGGTCTTTCGACCCCCAAAGGGGTTGCGACCCACAGGTTGAGAAACGCTGCATCATACTATTCTGTTAAGCTAGCTGCTTCAGGATGGTGGAGAACATGGTTAAGATGAGTAAATTCCACGAGCCTGGGCCCTTTGCCACACCTATCTTGCTGTGAAGTTGGGTCCTTGATCAGAAGCAATGTTGTATACATTACCTTGATGGTGGCTAAGGCATTGTGTAAGCGCGTGCACGTAGTTTTGGTAGAAGCATTGCATTCAGAGAAAGCAAATCCATATCCAGAATAAGCATCTATTCCAGTAAGAACAATACATCGCCTCTTCCATTATGAAAGTAGTCCACCAGGTAACTGGGTGATCAACCCTTGAGAATGGTGCCATATTTGAGACTCAGTGTTGGTGTCTGCTATTGGCACATTGGGCATTCAGCAGTGACCACTTTGTTCCTACTGCTCCAGCTATGTTGTACATGAGCCCATTGGGTGATACCAGGAGTGGCTGAGAAAAGACTGTTATCCACAGACCCCGTCATCTTATCTACCTCTTTATTAAAATTTGTCTGTGTTGAAGCCACCCTATAGGAACATTCACATGGGACACAAATACCTTCACAATTTTTGCCCATTCAGAGATGTCTGTCCACACACCTCTTTCTCAAATTGCCTTATCACTAATTTCCCAATCATGTTCCTTCCAAGCTGCTGACCATCTAGCCAAACCATTGGCCACAGTCAGTGCATCAGTATGTAATTACAGCTCTACCCATTTCTCCTCCAAAGCAAAGGGAACACCCAGGTACAATGGTCAGAATTCTGTCACTAGGAGGATTTCCCTTATCTACTGTCATTTGAAGATGTCCCAGAAAGGAGCTGCAGTGCTGCAGCTGTCCACTTAGGGATGGCACCTGCATGTTGTACAGAATCATCTGTAAACCAGGCCGAAGACACTTCTTCCTGTGTCAACTGACTGTAGGGACCTCTCCATGAGGCCAGAGGTGCAGGCTGGAAAAGAAAGGGCAGTGTAGCAGGAGTGGGGACCATGGGCATTTGGGCCACTTCTTCATGTAACTTACTGGTGTCATCAGGGCTTGCTTAGGCATGATCTTTTATATTCCATTTCCATTCACTGATGCTCATGTGCAACTTCATGACTCCGCTGGTCAGAAAACACTCAGGTCATAATGGGCAGCTCAGGTCACATGGTAACTTGGTGGCCCATGGCAAAGTGTTTTATCTCTATGAAGGCCCAGTAGCAGGCTAAGAGCTGTCTCCAGCTCCAGAGGATGGCAAGACTGCTCCAACGACCTAAGGACCTGCACTGTGATTCATCCATAGAGGCTGAAAAATATAAGAGAGTATAGAATCTATTTTATTAATATATTCCAGATGTAGACAAGATTTAATACACAAAAGTAGGTGAAGGTTTTTGTTATGGAATACAGACATACAGAGAGCTGGCTGCTTTGATTGTACCACTTCAGTTTCAACACAGAATAAATATAGATAGCAAAAATTCACTAGTGCAGATCTGAAAGCACCACAATCCTTTCCAGAAGAAGCATATTCTTACACAGACAAATCAACAAACTGAAGACTAGCAAACCTAATTCTGGGGCATTTCTCACCAGATAGAGAAGAGATTTTTCTCTACCAAAAAGAGCAAAATCAAATTCTCTATTATTGCCACTGTATTCATTTGCTATTGCTGTGTAGCAAATTACCACAAATGTAGTGGCTAAACCCCATAAACACACATATATTATTTCCCTGGGGTTTTTTTGGAGTCAGGAATATGGGCAAGAATTACCTGTGTTCTCTGCTTCATGATCTTACACAGCTGCAGAGGTTTCAATTATACTAAATTCTTACCTGCACGCATGACTGGAGAAGAGCCTACTTCCAAGCTCATGCAAATTGTTGGCAGAATTCATTTTCTTGCAGCGCTCTGCATAGGTACTTTGTAACATGACTGTTTACTTCTTCAAGGCTAGTAAGAATCTCTCTCACTCAGGGGAGGCCCAGCATTCTCAAAAGCTTTACCTGATTGCATCAGGCACATGAAGGATAATCTCTCTTTTGATGAACTCAAAATCAGTTGATTTGGGATCTTAATTACATGTACAATCCCTTTATGCTTGCCATATTCTGAAGGCTAGGAGCAAGTCATAGGTCTTGCCCACACTGAAATTATATGTGGTATGAACATCTGGGAACAGTAATCATGGAGACCCCTGTAGGATCTGTACACCACAGCTGCCACAAATGAGGAATAATATATTGACAAGAACCAACTTGGTCATGTACATGTTCATGAAAAGACTCCTCTGTAAGAGTAACAGTGCTATTGGTGGGTCTCACTAGTGGTTTTACATCTCCAGAGCATTGAGGGCTGGGCTGACTTTTGGGAGTGTTGAAATTGCGTTATGTAACCCTAAATTTATATATATATTTCCCATTCCAAGGCAAAGATTTTAATTTTCTTGGTGGTGTCTTTTCAGGAAATCTAATTCATTACTTTTGTTGTTGTTGTTGTTGTGTGTGTGTGTTGTGTCCTAGGCAAGAATCTTTGTTTATCCCAAGGTTACAAAAATATTATATATGTATATTCTAGAACAGGGGTGGGCAACCTTTTTGTGAGTGCATGCCAAAACCAGCAAAATCTCTGACTCAAAATTCTTCTGCGTGCCAACCCTAATTTTTTGAGAACATGTTACGCCTACTTGATATCTCTTAAGGTGTATGTATGTGAAGAACCTTGAAGAAATAATAAAATTCATTCGAGCGACAAAAACACAGTATACGATGATGATGAAAAATACATTTATTTTTTAATGTATACATGTTATGTAAAATTATTTATTTATCTAAGATGCACCTACACTGAATTTATCTGAAAAATAAACAAGTCGATATTAAGAAAAAAATTGTAAATAGAAGATTATAAGAGAGGCTTTCGTGTGCCAGCAAGTTACTGGCGTGCCATGTTTGGCACGTGTGCCAGGGTTTGCCCACCCTGTTCTAGAAGCTTCATTATATTATCTATATACTAGAGGCCCGGTGCACAAAAATTTGTGCACTCGAGGGGGAGGGGGGGGTCCCTCAGACCGGCCTGTGCCCTCTTGCAGTCTGGGACCCCTCAGGGGATGACCACCTGCTGGCTTAGGCCTGCTCCCCGGGGGATTGGGCCTAAGATGGCAATCAGACATCCCTCTGGCAGCCCGGCAGCCCTCGGGGGATGTCCACTTGCCAGCGGGGAACAGGCCTAAACTGCAGTCGGACATCCTTAGCACTGCTGAGGAGGCAGGAGAGGATCCCACCACCACCACTGTACTGGCAGCCATCAGCCTGGCTTGTGGCTGAGCAGAGCTCCTCACATGTGAGAGTGCCCTGACCACCAGAGGGCAGCTCCTGCATTGAGCGTCTGCCCCCTGGTGGTCAGTGTGTGTCATAGTGACCAGTCATTCCCAGTCCTTCTGCTGTTAGGGTCAGTTTGCATATTAT